CTCCTGGAAAAAAAACTGCACAGCTTAGAACAGCTCCCAAGAGGTAAACTGAGGCCTCCAGAATAATTCTGCCTTCCTTGCTTTTACCTCAGAGGTCTTCAAACTTGGCAACTTTAAGACTTGTGGACTTCAACTCCCAGAATTCTCCAGCCAGCTGTGCTGGCTGGAGAATTCTGGGAGTTGAAATCCACAAGTCTTAAAGTTGTCAAGTTTGGGGACCCCTGTTTTACCCAAACATTCTTCTCACCCAATGCAGGACAAATTGTTCACAAATCTAGCCGAAAATGCTCAGAAAACACCCATTTTTGTTCATATTTTTTTTTGTAGGCACATACCTTTTCTGCAAGATGTTTTTTTCATCCGGGGGCACTAATAACGCTCAATGTGAATCTTAACTACACACAATTTGTGTGTGTGCATGTATTGGGAATGGTTCAAGAAATTCCAAAACATTTGCACATGCCGCCTTCGTGCGTACAGTGAGCTCCCTGGCTTATTCTGGAGGTTCAAAGTGGATACAGACAGTCCTCGACTCGCAATTTGGCCCAAAATTTCTGTTGCCAAGTGAGACAGTCCTTAAGCGAGTTTTGCCCTATTTTACAAGCTTTCTTGCCACAGTTGTTCAGTAAGTAATTGTTGTGGTCCACCAGCAACCTGTGAAGCTAGCAGCAGAGTCGGACAGTGGGGAAGAACAGGGAACAGTCCTGGAGTCTGGGGAGGACTCGGATGAGGGATCTCTGTCTGACACAGAGATGGGGCCAGGGACATCTGAGAGTTGTGTGCCAACTCCGGAGCCTCCAGAATCTGACATCAGTGAGGCAGAGGAACAGAGGGAGCCTGTTCCCAGTGTGCGCTTGCACAGAGCTGCCAGAAGGCAAGAACAGTTAAGACAAAAGGGGTGACTTGGGAGTAAGGCTTGGAGGTGATTGGCCCCTCCCCTAAGACATAAAGAAGGAGCAAAGGGACAGGAGCCTTTGCAGGAAGCAACTTTGTTTTGTACTGGTCGGTTTAAAACCTGAAGCTCCGTGCTGAATTTGTGTTTCATTTGGCCTCATATAACTAATTGGAAATTTAGTCGTTGGCAGCATTTCAAGGGAGATAAAGGTGGGTGCTTATCAGGCTTATCCCAAAGGATTGTGGCAGAACTTCTGTTGGACTATTCACAAACTGTTTGGGACTCATTACGGGCTGGAAATACCTATAATTCACAGCCTTTGAAATAAAAACAAAGGTTTTGGGGACCAGTGTGGGACTGTGTGATTGTTACTGTCTCAGGAAGCCTTGGTCAGAACAGTAACATGGTGGTTAAGTGAATTCGGATTCCCCATGGACTTTGCTTGTCAGAAGGTCGCAACAGGGAATCACATGACCCCGGGACACTGCGACCATCATAAATACGAGACAGCTGCCAAGTGTCTCAATTCTGATCACATGACTGTGGAGGATGCTTCAATGGTTGCGTGAAAAGGGATCAAAGCCACTTTTTTCAATGCCATAAATGAACCATCGTAAGTCGAGGGCTACCTGTATTATCTGTATACACTGTTGTGGTTCGCTGGCAGCAGGTACAGACGGCTGAGGCCTCGGAGAGCGAGGACTCGGATGAGGGGCCTGCGTGGGATGCAGGGATGGGGCCAGGACCATCAGGGAGCGGAGTGCTGCCTTCGGAGATTGTGGAGGCTGGCAGCAGTGAGGAAGAGGCCCCTGAGGAGCCCGTGCCCAGTGCGCATGTGCGCAGGGCTGCTTGAATGAAAGACCAGCTGGGGAGACTCGGGAGTAAGGCTGCAAGGTAATGGCCCCTCCCTTCAGGGATAATAGCCAGCTGAGAAACTGAAGTTCTTTGCAGGAAGCAAAGAAGTTTTTGCACTCAAACCTTGCGGACGTTTGGACTCTCTTAGTTTGTGTTTGGAGACTCTTTGGGTTGGAAATATTTCTCAGTAACTTTATCTAGCATTCTTGGCAGCTTTGCACCACCTTGGCAAGGCTCGTTCTTATCAGAAATAATTAATTTGAAACAGCCTTTTAACTGGGAAGGAATGGAATTCGTAGAGAAGCATTAAAAGCTTTTGCTTTTATCTCTGTTTGGTGTTTGTTTCCTTGGAACAAGGTTTGGGTCAGAACAATAAACGATTCAAAACTAAACGGGCATCTGCCGGCCCTTTTGGGACCCACGTGGGTGAGAAGGGCTTAATTTGATGGTAGCCGCTACCATCTGCCCTGGATTCGAACTCCAAGAGCGTCAGGTGAGGGCTGGGCACCAGGCAGGGCAAAGCTGCCACCAGCCAAGTTGGACTCTGCAAGGACTCACTGTCTCTCCCTAGTGCCATCCAATCCCCTGGGCTTTGGGGATGTGAATGTACGATGAGTGCATAATTAATTCCCAGATGTTTTCAGTGCGGATGAAATATTAATCAATGATTGAGCCATTAACGGCGCATTTAAAGGCAGCCTCAAAATCCTTGGAGAAAACCCTGGGTCCCGGGGGGGGGCGGGGGGGGGGGATGGGAATGAGCAGAAACTGGGGGCTTCTGGTGAGGGAGGAGGGGAAGACAAGACTGCCAAAAGAAGAAAAGTGTCAGGATTCCAGCAATTGCCCTCATTAAATCATGAGCCTTGAGCCAGACTTCAAAAAACTTCAAAGAATTCATTAGGAATGACATATTGACTGTTTCCTAGTGTGATTTGATTGCTTATTTGTACCCCATGACTATCATTAAGTGTTGTACCTGATGATTCTTGGCTCTTGATGAATGTATCTTTCCTTTTATGTACCCTGAGAGTATTTGCACCAAGACAAATTCCTTGTGTGTCCAACCACACTTGGCCAATAAAGAATTCTATTCTATTGGCATGACCTGTAGGTAGCCAATTCTGAGACAAGTAATTCACTATCACCCTTGACCCTGGTTTCCCCCACCCCACCCCTCTGGGTGCATCATAATTCATACTGTTAGGAATATAAGTCACCTAACAGGTATTTGGGTTAGAAATATATAAACCAGGATAGACATTTTAAAACTCTTATCTTTAAAAAAATGCAAAACTTTAGTTGGATGTGGTTTCTCAAACGGCCATAAGATGGAGCCAGAAACCTGGGTTGTTTTAGTCTTAGTCTCAGAAGAGAGTGTGTCTGAGTGAGTCTCTCTGTTTCCTTCTGTTGGAAAGTATTGCCGTTCCTCCATTTCTTTTAACTGACTGATATTATTGGATTTAATGTAAGTCTGATACTGAACTGTTTTTGACACTGGAATTTGATATTTGGATTATCCCTGGATTGAAAAACTGACTGATTTACCTGTGAATGATTTTGGATTGCTTATTTGCTTAAACCTTTCTGGAAGTAAAAACCTACATTTACTGTACAGTGTATCCGTGTGCTCTGTGTGTATTATTCCAACACTACTCTCACTACGTCTCCCTGTATGTGCTCATTCTCCTAACGGGGAATTACCTCAACACATATTCTCCAACGAAACACGTCCATAGCCAAGAGTCGTCAATCACGTTCTCCAATTAAAGATTTTTGTGGGCAGAAACTCCAGTCGCTTAGTTATAATCTTTGCAAGACACGAATGGATTGCACTTTCGGTTCCAAACTGCTGCACTGCTCCCTTCAAACTCCTTCCCCTCCCCTTTCTGTTGGCAACTATAAAACAGGCATAGAAATGTTTTATGAGTTGACAAAAGGACGCCTCCCTTTCAGTCAGATTGAGGCTATCCCCACTTCCTCCTAGCCACATGCATTTTTTTTTTAATGCGCTGTCCACATGAAGGTGTTGAGTCTCATTTTCACATCATCATTTGGTGCCCAGCTGCGCTAAAATATGTTTTCCTGTCTGCAAAGTGAGTGAAGTCTGCAAAACTTTGTCCCCAGGACTCCCCACCTGCATCCGGGAGGATTGAGGATTGCGTGGCCTACGAAGCAAAGCAGCAGAGGCGGGTGAGGGATTGGAGCCTGGGGGCAGAGGGGTCCAGGCCAGGGGCCTTCCCCCCAATGGCCAAGGCCAGAAGGATGGAAGCTGGGAGGGACATCAGCTCAGCGGTGGGAAAGGCCCAAAGAAACGAGCCGAGTATCTTCCTTGGCTGGCTGGGGAATTCTGGGATTGCAGCGCATCCATCTTCAAGTGGTATTCAAGTGGTATTCTGTTCAGAAATCTCTCTTGGGTACGACTCCCTGCTAGCACTGATGATGTTCCCTAGTTGGGTCATGAAATGTCTGCAAGCAAGCCACGATGACAATACCAAGACCCCAAGAGTTTTCCTTTCCCCTCCTCCTCCTCCTCTCTCTCCCAACTTCCTCTTCCTCCTCTCCCTCCTCCTCTCTGCCCCATCCTCCTCCTCCTCCTTTCCAGCACTCTTAATGTGACCTGGTTGGGTAGTAAAATGTCCGTAAGAAAACAACCAAGCTCAGAGAGGACCACGTTCAACCCGGAGCCACCAATATTCCCTTTTATCAAAATAGCTTGCAGCTGCCAGACGGGACATCCGGAATCCAGAAGCAGCAGGAGGCGGAGAGGGAGACTCTGAAAAGCCAAGCGGCTTTCCCCAGATCAAACTCAATTCTCAAACGCGAGGTTGAGAAACGGGTCTGAATCTCCCCTTGTCCTTCATCCCTCTAAGATGCAGACGCCCCTTGCAAGGCTGGCCCCACCCCGTCAGCAACAGGGCAGGGTTTCTGCTCACGTAAACACAAGTGTGATCAAATCTCCACCCTCTGGCACTTGGGTAGCTTGAGCAAGAAAAAAAATCCCCAGGTTATTTTCCAAAATATCGGAGACCTGCATTACGCCTGAAAAATAGACGGCGTCTTGATCGCATTGCCATTGATGCCATCTTGACTTTTTTGACCTAACCTGGCAGACACGTCCACCCCCAACTTCCTTCTGCCCGAATCCTGACTTTTGTGCACTCCAACCCCCCCCCCACCCGCCCAGCCCGTCTTCCTGCAGACCGCTAGCCTGGTAATGGAAAGCAACAGACACACACAACTGCGGTCCACAAAAGTTGTAATGAAATGGTCACATTTAATGAGCCTCTTCTCCGCTGGGCTCCCCCTCCCCCTCCCCTTTCCGGTGTGGGTGTGGGTTTGTGTGCACGTTGAGTCTTAAAATTTTTATGTACATCTATAAAAAGTTCAAAGACAGCATACGTTCGAAGGGGGGAGGTTAGAGGGGCTTACGGTCTGAAATGCTGCACCCCAACGGGGGAGAGGGGCGAGATCGGAAGTGGGTTCTGGGGCAGGAGAGAAGGGGAGTGTTACAAAACAGGTTGGGGGGGGAGGAGGATGAGCTGAGGAGGGTCAGTGGGGTGTCTCGGCTTAGCTACAGACCCCACCCCCGATGTGGATCCCACCCTCCACCCTCCACCCCCCATAATAAGAGCAGTACAGAAACCTCAGTGATCCTTGTATAAACCAAACAGACTCCATTACAAAGAGGGGGAGGCAATGGGGGATGGTCCAGGAACAGCCCCCATCTTTCGGCGACGATGATGTCAGTGCAGGCAGAGAAAGACCCCACCCTCTCCACCACGGAAGTCTTGGGGTTCCCAGAGGGGGTCTGGGAGGGTCCCTCCCCACAACTTCCACGTCTTGCTCAGCCGAGGACTCGCCGAGGTTCGTCTTCTCCCAGTTCAGAAAAGCAGAGAGCTCCCAGCTCCGTGTGGCCCTCGGGGCCCCCGGTCTGAGCTGCCCTGTCCACACGCTTTGAGGGTCCTACTGTGGTGGCCGAAGGAAGCATCTTTGGCTTGGTGGCTTAGCTGTATGACCCGAGCCTGGGGGCTCCTCCCTGGTGCGCTCCGGAGGGCGGCTCCCTCCTGTCCCACCCGCCATCTCGCCTGGCGCGGAGAAGTCCTTGGCTCCATCCAGGGCAGGTTGTGGTGGGTGGGCGAGAGCGGAGGAGGGGGGATCCGGGAGCGCCTGGCTCTCCGAGGACTCGTCCTTCAAGGAAGCGAAGAAGCCGAGAAGAGAAAGAGACACAATCATCCGACTGGGTGCAAAACAGGTGGAAGGACCAGATGGGTGGGTGGGCAAGGGGGTGGCCTTCCAAAGGGACCCCGAGGCTGGAAGAAGGGAGAGAAGTGGACAGGATGCCTTCTCTGCCTCTCGGGCAGGGGAGGGTTTCCAATTTTTTTAGCAAGGGGCTCTCTGCCCTAATGACGGGCTGGGTGGGCACGGCTGGGTGGGCGTGGCTAGGTAGTCATGTGACTGGGTGGGTACGAGCAACCTGAGGTCGTTTCTTTGCCCTAATTACCTAAAAAAAGATAACATGCCCAAAAGTTGTTTATTATTTCGTGCATTTAACACTTAAATAAAAGACTGGATGAAACCTGGCTTGATAGCAGTGACTGTGAGAGGGATCTTGGCGTCTTAGTGGAGTTTCTGGTGAGTGACATGATTCTTATTATTTGGGAATTAATCACCTCGGAGGCAAGTGTCTATGTTATCTGGTTTTCTCAATGGCTCTCCCTTGCAAGTGCTGAGTGGATTGTTTATCTAGCTTGCCACACTTTTACCAGGTGTTTAATGCTCTTGGCTGAATGCCCAGAAGTTCGATTAAGCCTATTAAGAGCTTTCCCTTGCTGCTTGTCCTGCTGAGGTTATTGGGGGACCCTCCAAGCGCTGCAGAGTCTTATCTAGGGAGAGCCCCCAGCAGCCCACCCCTCAGTTAATCTCTTTGCAAGATGGGGGTTTAGGAACTTCAGGAAGAGGCCGAGAAATTCAGGGATGAACCTCTTGACCCAGAAGCGGTATATAAGTCTAACTGCTCTTTCTCTTACTATCCGAATTTGGATCACGTGACCTTGGCATGCTGCAAAGTGTGAAAAACAGTCATACATCACTGTTTTTAGTGCTGTTGTAATGTTTAACCGTTATTTTAAGTGACGGATTGTTAAATAAAGGACTATCTGCATAATGAAATCTCCAGCCCCGAAGTGTGAGGCCAATCAAAATTCAAAGCAACCGTATTTGGAAGCTGGCCAGAGTCAAGGGCATCTGCACATGGGTTGCGGAGTCCTTCCAGCATTCAAGCGCAAGCTGCGACAGCCCACAGAGCCCAGGAGCTGCCCTAGGAACCCCCTTCAGGATTCCCTGGTACCTTGAAACCCTGAAACCCCTGAGTGCAGGTGCCTCCAACCCTGGCCGCTTTATGACTTGGGGACTTCAACTCTGGGAATTCTGGGAGCCGAAGTCCACCAGTATCATTGTCAGGAGTGGGATTGTACTGGTTCAGACCGGTTTAATAGAACCAGTTGTTACAATTCTGTGCAGTTCGGAGAACCGGCAGATCGTACCCCTGGCTGGCCCCGCCCCACTCCACCCGTCCCTCCCCTCCCCACCCAGTCAGTTCTCATCGCGCATGTGCAGCATCACTGACTGCGTTCTCCCCACCCAGTCACTCCTTAAGGTGTTCCTCTTTCTTTTTTTCCTCCTGACGATCAGCTGTTCCGACGATCAGCTATGCTGGGATTCCCCTCGCTGTCTTACTCCTTTGCCCAGGAGGCTTCCCTGAGGCCCAGGAGGCAAAAAGGAGCACGCGGGGTGTGTGTGTGTGTGTGTGTGTGTGTGTGCTGCACACCCAGTCACACGGCCATGCCCACCTAGCCACTCCCACAGAACCGGTAACAAAAATATTTGCCTCCCACCCTGCTCAACGTTGCTAAGGTTAGAGGCCCCTGCCTTAGTGGGCCTAGCACTGCCACATCTGCAGGGCTCCCAAGACACCTGGAGGTCAACAGGAGGAGATTCCACGGCTGTCTTCCTCCAGGGCAGCTTTCCAGCACTTGGAGAATCACAGCTGCCCAAATGAAGAGCTCCCCCAATTAGAGAAGCTTAATGTGAAGAGAGAAGGTTCAGCCATGGGGCCTCCAGGTGGGCCTGGGTGAAGAAAGGATCACCAGTGGGAGTGCCTCCAATGGACAAAGGGACCAGGAGAAGAAAGTCACTGAGATGACCTTGGAAAGCAAGATGGGGACAGACTCAGAGGGGACTTCTGAAGAAGAAAGGTGATGGAAACCACCTACGGTGTTCTCCTACTTTGGGTTCCTCTCGGAGTGGAAGGAGAATGGTTGTGGGTACCACATGAAGGACTGTGAGAGGGAGGACACAGGTCTCACGGAGGGTTGCCAGAGGCCATGATGACATCCTTTGGAAGGTGGGGAGGACATTTTATCAGGAAGGTTCTGCAGGAAGGTGAAGAGGATGGTGACCTCAAAATACAAGCTCCGCTTCCTGTGGACGTCTTGTCTTTGCTTTGGGGATCTATTTTTGGAGGATGTCCTTCCTCTTTCCTCATCTGGACTGTTACAGACACCATCACTGCCACTGTTTGAAAACCGGCTCCATCAAAAGACGGCCATTTTCATTCTCAATTTCAGCGACAGGGAGGATCTAAGGATGTCATGCAGCCACCGGCGGTTCCTTCCTGGCATGGCCCTCTGTTCTCTTTGCACCCGACCTTCTCGGTCTCTCCTTGAACCCTCTTCCCACCCCGGGAAAACCCTGGTTAGATGAGATACTCACTAGATTAAGAGAAGGGCGAATGCCACCAAGACCAGAGCTGGGACCACAGAAGGTGACACGGCTTCATCACTGCTTTGTTCCTCTGAGTCATACATCTTGGTGGTGGGGGGAACCTCAAATGTGGAGGTGCTGCTGGTGGTGGTCTCTGCAGGAAGGAAAAGAGGATACAATTCCAGGATTATCATTTTTTTTACAGAGGCACGATGGAGAGCGTGTTAACAAACCTCATCCATGTTTGGTTTGGGGGCTGCGGTGTCTCAGATAGAAAGACTCTATAGAGAGTGATGAGGACAGCAGAGATAGGATGCTCACTTCCTGTAATTCAGGATACTTCTTATAAGCGCTATGTGCTTGGAGCTCAAAGCATCGTTAGAGACCTCACACATCCACTCCACGGTCTCTTTCTGTTTTCCCCCTCTGGGAGGAGGTTCCAGAGCATTTATAGTAGGACTAGCAATTCTGGGACAGCTTTGTTCCCCATGCCACCCGTTTGGTAAACTCGCAGGATTCGTTTTTCTCGCTATATACGCGCATATACAGTACAGTACATCCAAACTAGACCATGCGGTTTCTCTGGGTCATATAATATATAGAGCCACGGGGACGCAGTGGTCAGAGTGCAGCACTGCAGGCTACTTCTGCTGACTGCCGGCTGCCTGCAATTTGGAAGTTTGATTCTCACCAGGCTCCAGATGGACTCAGCCTTCTGTCCTTCTGAGGTGGGTCAAATGAGGACCCAGATTGTTGAGGACAAGAGGCTGGCTCTGTTAACCGCTTAGAGAGGGCTGGAAAGCAGACTTTAAGTCTAAGTCTTATTGCTATTGCTAATATGTTGGTACATGCATAACTATGTATGTATGCTTGTATTTTTTCATGTTTCATGAAGTGAACATTGGAGGTGGTGACCCTTGGAGAGGTGTATGCAATGAAGGTTCATTTTCATGTGGACATTCAAAGTGACAGTACAATTATTCTATTCTATTTTCTATTCTATTTGCTATTCTATTTTCTATTCCATTCCATTCCATTTCACTCTATTATGATCTAAAGGTCAAATTTGGGTTTTTCTTGCCTCCTGAGCCCAAGTCAACATCTGCACCTCCCCTGCAGAAAAACCAAGGGTGAATTTTGCAGCCTTGGAAGGACACTGTTGTCACCCTTGTGGCTTTGGGCTGGAGGCATTGGCATTGAACGGAGGAGCTGACAGTGGGGTTTTAGCCGTTGCCGGGCCCACCCACCCACCCTGCTCCTCTGACCGTAGCCTTTCAGTCAACACCCCAGATCCAAAGTGGGCCTAAACGGGTTCCAAGCTCTGGAGCACCACGAAGCATCATCTCCATGTTGAGGGTCTGTTGTAGCCCTGAGCACCACCAAGAGTCTCTTCTACCCAAAGACTCAAGGCCAGCAAGACAATTTGGGGTGTGTGTGTGTGTGTGTGTGTGAACTTCTGGTTCTTTCCTCTTTCCCCTTCAGGCCCAGAAATATGACCACAATGGGATTTGACCTCCCTTCAGGGAATTGTCTAGGTAGAGACTGTGCCCGGGTCTGCAACTAGAAGTCTAATTTTTTTGGTCTGGCCTCTCTTTAGTTGGTATGAAACTACGACTGTATTGTGTTAGGACTCGAGGCTTGCAAGGAACTGGGTGTGTGTAGTCTACAGAAAAGAAGGACTAGGGGTGACAGGATAGCAGTCTTCCAGGATTTGAGGGGATGCCACAAAGAAGAGAGGGTCAAATTGTTCTCCAAAACACCAGAGGACAGGACAAGAAACAACGGATGGGAACTCATCAAGGAGAGAAGCAACCTGGAATTAAGGAGAAACTTCCTAACAGGGAGGACAATTAACCAGTGGAACAGCTGGACTCCAGAAATTGTGGGTGCTCCATCCCTGGAGGCTTTTAAGAAGAGATTGGACAGCCATTTGTTTCAAATTGTGTAGGTTCTCCTGGTTGAGTAGAGGGTTGGATTAGAACAGGGGTCTCCAACCTTGGCCACTTTAAGACTTGTGGACTTCAACTCCCAGAAGTCCACAAGTCTTAAAGTGGCCAAGGTTGGAGACCCCTGCCTTAGATTACCAAAGCTGGCTGAGGAATTCTGGGAGTTGAAGTCCACAAGTCTTAAAGTGGCCAAGGTTGGAGACCCCTGGATTAAAAGACCTCCAGGGACCCTCCCAGTTCTGTTATTCTGTTAAGTAAGCAGTGGAATTGCCTTCAGAAAACTGTGGGCGCTCCATCCCTGGAGGCTTTCAAGAAGCAACGGGACAATCCTTTGTCTGAAATGGCACAGGGTCTCCTGCTCAAGCAGGGGGTTGGGCTAGATGACCTCCAAGGTCCCTTCCGACTCTGTTCCTATGAGTGCACCTTTGCGTCTCGTCCATATCCCTCCCATCGTTTTCCAGATGAAAGTCTTCTCTTGTGCCCCGTGCTAAATAAACAGTACATAAGATTTATTTGGGGGTTCGGTTCACGGCTAAACCACCCCCCCCAGAAGTAGATTTATTTGGGGGTTCTACACGAACAGCAAGCAGCAAGTGAGTTAACTTGCTGTTCACGGGGTGAACAGAGCCCGAGTAAAACCATCTTAACAAAGTTCCTACGAGGCTTAAAAAAAAAAAGGCTTCGGTGCATTTATTAATGTCCCGAAGAAACGAGAGGAGAGAGAAGCACTAATTAGCAGCTATTCCCACCCCGACCCCAATCACCAGCTCCCTTTTGGGAGGAGAAGAAGGCAATAAACACACACACACACACACACCCCTGACTGCTAACGGCTGGCTGGCCTCTGTTTCAAAACAACCTTTCCTCACTTAGTGACCTAAAGTTGGGTGTTCCTCGTCTGCCTGAACAGGCTTCCTGCACTTAAGGAAGGTTGATGAAACCTCGCTCGAATTCCCGGGGATTTAGGGTGGAAATAGCAGCAGAAGTTTCCACCAGGGGGCAGCAAAGCCCCATCAGAAACACACACACCCTACGGCAGGGGTCTCCATCCTCGGCCACTTTTAAGACTTGCGGACTTCATCTCCCAGAATGCCTCAGCCAGCAAAGCTTAAAGAGGCCAAGGTTGGAGACCCCCTGTCCTAAGGACACCCCCTTTCTTGCCTTTTAGGGCCCTTCATGTTGTCAACCTTCAGTCTGAACAACAACAACAAAAAATGGGCCCCAGGCCTAGCTGGCCTTCCCGTTCGGAGCAGAGGGAAAAATGGGGCCTTCTCCTCTGCGGCATCCTTTGGCTCGGAGAGGTTGCCCACCTCTCGGCTCCATTTTGCTAACCTCCCTCCGGGCAGGGGAGTCCTCGGATGAGGACACGGAAGGTAGGATAATAGCAATAGCCCTTAGACCAGTGGTGGTAGTCAGCCGGTTTACACCGGATCGGGCGAACTGGTAGCAAGAACTTGGCGGGCATCGCTGAACCGGTAGTAAGTTCGCCCCCCCACCCTGTCGCCCTCCCGCTCGATACTCGCTCACCCCACCCGCCTGCCTGACATTCGCCTAAGGTCTTTCTTTTTCTTTCTTTCTTTCTTTCTTTCTTTCTTTCTTTCTT